GTCGAACTTTCGAAATATACTTAAATCTAGGTATCTACTCTTAAAACACCCAATCTGATTTGAAGTCAGATTAACAAGTTTGATTTGATTTTTTAATGGTTATTCAAGAAAAAGAAAAATGATTTCAGAACTATACCTTGTTTAACTAAAAGACTAGTTATAAAACAACAAACAAACTTTTTCCAAACGTATAAATGAATATAAGAAAATTCGCATTTGGGACGACTTCAATTACTTTTTCTTTTATACAATTGATGATAAAAAAAGGCATCGACCTAGAGAATTGAGATGAAAGTCAACGTGAATGAACTTGGTCAAGAAATACCAAACTTTGCTTAGTGTGTAGAAAGTAAACGCCAACTCTGGTTATAGACCCCAAAAAGTCTTATGCTTTCACATTTGAATGAAACTCGTTTGTGGTTTTGGTAAACACAAAAAGAATATTAAAACAAAGGAAAAATAATAGATAAATGTTAGACCAAACTAAAATAATTGGACTTCGTATAAAGTCAATCTAGTTGTTTCCGTACTTAACTTCCTTACCAAAAACACATATCAACCGACGACGACTTTCCCCTACTATCACCTTTCAAAGTTTAAGTGTTTAACTACCTCAAGGTTACAAGTAAATTGTCATATAATCTTATTATCTAAACCATTAGAAGTTATACTAATTAGTGGGAGTTTACAAGTCGTCAAATACCTAATAAATACTTTTGACATTTATCATCTATTAGTTCGTATACTTTTTAACATTGAATATATTTACCATTTAAATAACTCATTTTCTTTTCTTCAAACTTTTTTTTTAGAACCAGATGGTTGTCCAAATTTTTACCACCCGACTAATCTTCTAGAGTTAGTGTAGCCGTCGAGTAGCTCATTCACCGGATTTTCTACACACTAATAGACCTAAAGCGTGACACCATTTCGACTAGTCAAATGAGAGTGATTAGACAATTTCGCATTTGAGAGAAATTGAACTCTGACCTAAACCCACGAAGCATCTATTTTTCAAATAGAAACCACTTGCCCACTACTATTTGGTTCTTAAAATGTTTTTCATGTGCATCAATATAAATCAAATTATTGTTTGTTAATGCTAACCTTTTAACTCTTAAGATTATAAATTTTGATAGTTTGAATTCATGATCTAGTCGTCCATTTGTAAACAACTATTTTTGATCATTTTTATCACATAAGTTTTGTGAAACATTCTTTCTGTGTCTAGAAAAACCATAATATATACGACCACCATACATGTTAAATCTCTTAAATAATATAGTCTAATAATTTGAGTAATATGAAATGATCAATCTAGTTGACATTGTTTTGAATAGAATGTGCTTGACTATGTTTAAGGAGAGCTAAATGTGAAACCAAATTATGCAACAAATGAGTACGTAGTAGTCGATAAGCGATGACATAATCGTCTACTTTTGTCAACAATTACCATCGTCAAACCTTTCGATCAACTAAAAATATACACAAAACATTTTTCTTCAATGACTAAATAATCGCCACTATAGTTTTCGGTGTAATAGTCCAAAACGGTATCGAATCGATTGCGAAGGAATCTAAAAAAGTACTAACTTGTAATGTTGGCTAAAGAAATGGCTCGTCTTCTTATTATCATTATTATCACGGAAATTATCGTTTTGAAGTACAAAACCATCTTCTTGAAGATGATCATAATATAGAATTATATTATCCTCTTCAAAGAAGTTATTAGAGTAATAAAAGTAATTAATGTTATTGTTCTGAGTGGAAGAATATTCCAAGTATAAGCTGTCTTCTTGATCCCAGATCCAATT